CCTGCCAGCCCCTGTTAGAGCCTGCCAGACCCTGTTAGAGTCTGCCAGACCCTGTTAGAGCCTGCCCGACCCTGTTAGAGCCTGCCAGAGCCTGCTAGACTTTTCTAGAGCCTGCCAGACCCTTTTAGAGCCTGCCAGACTTGTTAGAGCCTGCCAGACCCTGTTAGAGCCTGCCAGACCCTGTTAGAGCCTGCTAGACCCTGTTAGAGCCTGCTAGACCCTGTTAGAGCCTGCCAGACCCTGTTAGAGCGTCCCAGACACTGTTAGGGCCTGCTAGAGCCTCCCAGACCCTGTTAGAGCCTGCTAGACCCTTGTTAGAGCCTGTCAGACCCTGTTAGAGCCTGCCAGACCCTGTTAGAGCCTGCCAGACCCTTGTTAGAGCCTGTTAGACCCTTGTTAGAGCCTGCCAGAACCTTGTTAGAGCCTCCCAGACCCTGTTAGAGCCTCCCAGACCCTGTTAGAGCTTCCCAGACCCTGTTAGAGCCTGCCAGACACTGTTAGAGCCTGCCATACACTGTTAGAGCCTGCCAGACACTGTTAGAACCTGCCAGACACTGTTAGAGCCTGCCAGACACTGCTAGAGTCTGCCAGACACTGTTAGAGCCTGCCAGACCCTGTTAGAGCCTGCCAGACCCTGAAGCAGCACCGGCCGGACCATTGCCGTTGCTGCAGAGACGGGCCCCGAGGACAGAACCGCCAACAGTTCTGACGGGAGTGAGCGTCAGTGACGGATGACAGCGGCCCCGTCCACCTGACAGCGAGGGGGGGGGAGTGGCGGATGACAGCGGCCCCGTCAACATGACAGCGAGGGGGGAGTGACGGATGACAGCGGCCCCGTCAACATGACAGCGAGGGGGGGGGGGAGTGACGGATGACAGCGGCCGCGTCAACATGACAGCGAGGGGGGAGGGAGTGGCGGATGACAGCGGCCCCGTCAACATGACAGCGAGGGGGGGGGAGTGACGGATGACAGCGGCCCCGTCAACATGACAGCGAGGGGGATGGGGAGTGACGGATGACAGCGGCCCCGTCAACATGACAGTGAGGGGGGGGAGTGGCGGATGACAGCGGCCCCGTCAACATGACAGCGAGGGGGGGGGGAGTGGCGGATGACAGCGGCCCCGTCAACATGACAGCGAGGGGGGGGAGTGACGGATGACAGCGGCCCCGTCCACATGACAGCGAGGGGGGGGGGGGGAGTGACGGATGACAGCGGCCCCGTCAACATGACAGTGAGGGGGGGAGTGGCGGATGACAGCGGCCCCGTCAACATGACAGCGAGGGGGGGGGGCGGAGTGGCGGATGACAGCGGCCCCGTCAACATGACAGCGAGGGGGGGGAGTGACGGATGACAGCGGCCCCGTCCACATGACAGCGAGGGGGGGAGTGACGGATGACAGCGGCCCCGTCAACATGACAGCGAGGGGGGGGGGTGACGGATGACAGGGGCCCCGTCAACATGACAGCGAGGGGGGGGGTGACGGATGACAGGGGCCCCGTCAACATGACAGCGAGGGGGGGGGGAGTGACGGATGACAGCGGCCCCGTCCACGTGACAGTGAGGGGGGGGACTGGCGGATGACAGCGGCCCCGTCCACATAACAGCGAGGGGGGGAGTGACGGATGACAGCGGCCCCGTCAACATGACAGCGAGAGGGAGGGGGGGGGAGTGGCGGATGACAGCGGCCCCGTCAACATGACAGCGAGGGGGGGGGGGGAGTGACGGATGACAGCGGCCCCGTCAACATGACAGCGAGGGGGGGGAGTGACGGATGACAGCGGCCCCGTCAACATGACAGCGAGGGGGGGGGAGTGACGGATGACAGCGGCCCCGTCAACATGACAGCGAGGGGGGGGAGTGGCGTCCATAGGGGACGCCATCAACACATTAGTAAGGTGAGGCTCAGGGTGAGGCTGGGTTGTGAGACAAGGCTCAGGGTGAGGCTGGGTTGTGAGACAAGGCTCAGGGTGAGGCTGGGTTGTGAGACAAGGCTCAGGGCGAGGCTGGGTTGTGAGACAAGGCTCAGGGTGAGGCTGGGTTGTGAGACAAGGCTCAGGGTGAGGCTGGGTTGTGAGACAAGGCTCAGGGTGAGGCTGGGTTGTGAGACAAGGCTCAGGGCGAGGCTGGGTTGTGAGACAAGGCTCAGGGTGAGGCTGGGTTGTGAGACAAGGCTCAGGGTGAGGCTGGGTTGTGAGACAAGGCTCAGGGTGAGGCTGGGTTGTGAGACAAGGCTCAGGGTGAGGCTGGGTTGTGAGACAAGGCTCAGGGTGAGGCTGGGTTGTGAGACAATGCTCAGGGTGAGGCTGGGTTGTGAGACAAGGCTCAGGGTGAGGCTGGGTTGTGAGACAAGGCTCAGGGCGAGGCTGAGTTGTGAGACAAGGCTCAGGGTGAGGCTAGGTTGTGAGACAAGGCTCAGGGCGAGGCTGAGTTGTGAGACAAGGCTCAGGGTGAGGCTGGGTTGTGAGACAAGGCTCAGGGTGAGGCTGGGTTGTGAGACAAGGCTCAGGGTGAGGCTGGGTTGTGAGACAAGGCTCAGGGCGAGGCTGGGTTGTGAGACAAGGCTCAGGGTGAGGCTGGGTTGTGAGACAAGGCTCAGGGTGAGGCTGGGTTGTGAGACAAGGCTCAGGGGGAGGCTGGGTTGTGAGACAAGGCTCAGGGCGAGGCTGAGTTGTGAGACAAGGCTCAGGGTGAGGCTAGGTTGTGAGACAAGGCTCAGGGCGAGGCTGGGTTGTGAGACAAGGCTCAGGGCGAGGCTGGGTTGTGAGACAAGGCTCAGGGCGAGGCTGGGTTGTGAGACAAGGCTCAGGGTGAGGCTGGGTTGTGAGACAAGGCTCAGGGTGAGGCTGGGTTGTGAGACAAGGCTCAGGGTGAGGCTGGGTTGTGAGACAAGGCTCAGGGCGAGGCTGAGTTGTGAGACAAGGCTCAGGGTGAGGCTAGGTTGTGAGACAAGGCTCAGGGCGAGGCTGAGTTGTGAGACAAGGCTCAGGGCGAGGCTGGGTTGTGAGACAAGGCTCAGGGCGAGGCTGGGTTGTGAGACAAGGCTCAGGGCGAGGCTGGGTTGTGAGACAAGGCTCAGGGTGAGGCTGGGTTGTGAGACAAGGCTCAGGGCGAGGCTGGGTTGTGAGACAAACAAAATCATGACCACAGTCTAGCAAATGAAACTAAAATCGCCGGTAACCGAGCATCAAAACCACCTCAGCGATGTTGACCAGACCACACACTAGAAGGTGAAGGGACGACGACGTTTCGGTCCGTCATGGACCATTCTCAAGAATGACTTGAGAATAGTCCAGGACGGACCGAAACGTGGTCGTCCCTTTACTTTCTAGTGTGTGGTCTGGTCAACATACTTCAGCCACGTTATTGTGACTCATCGCCTCCACCTCAGTGATTTTGTTACTCAGTTACTCAGTTACTCAGCTACTCAGTTACTAAGCTACTTAGTTACTCAGTTACTCAGCTACTCAGTTACTCAGCAACTCAGTTACTCAGCTACTTAGTTACTCATCTACTCAGTTACTCAGCTACTCAGTTACTCAGCTACTCAGTTACTCAGCTACTCAGTTACTCAGCTACTCAGTTACTCAGCTACTCAGTTACTCAGCTACTCAGTTACTCAGCTACTCAGTTACTCAGCTACTCAGTTACTCAGCTACTCAGTTACTCAGCTACTCAGTTACTCAGCTACTCAGTTACTCAGCTACTCAGTTACTCAGCTACTCAGTTACTCAGCTACTCAGTTACTCAGCAACTCAGTTACTCAGCTACTTAGTTACTCATCTACTCAGTTACTCAGCTACTCAGTTACTCAGCTACTCAGCTACTCAGTTACTCAGCTACTCAGTTACTCAGCTACTCAGTTACTCAGCTACTCAGTTACTCAGCTACTTAGTTACTCAGCTACTTAGTTACTCATCTACTCAGTTACTCAGCTACTCAGTTACTCAGCTACTCAGCTACTCAGTTACTCAGCTACTCAGTTACTCAGCTACTCAGTTACTCAGCTACTCAGTTACTCAGCTACTCAGTTACTCAGTTACTCAGCTACTCAGTTACTCAGCTACTCAGTTACTCAGCTACTCAGTTACTCAGCTACTCAGTTACTCAGCTACTCAGTTACTCAGCTACTCAGTTACTCAGCTACTCAGTTACTCAGCTACTCAGTTACTCAGCAACTCAGTTACTCAGCTACTTAGTTACTCATCTACTCAGTTACTCAGCTACTCAGTTACTCAGCTACTCAGCTACTCAGTTACTCAGCTACTCAGTTACTCAGCTACTCAGTTACTCAGCTACTCAGTTACTCAGCTACTCAGTTACTCAGCTACTCAGTTACTCAGCTACTCAGTTACTCAGCTACTCAGTTACTCAGCTACTCAGTTACTCAGCTACTCAGTTACTCAGCTACTCAGTTACTCAGTTACTCAGTTACTCAGCTACTCAGTTACTCAGCTACTCAGTTACTCAGTTACTCAGCTACTCAGCTACTCAGTTACTCAGTTACTCAGTTACTCAGCTACTCAGTTACTCAGCTACTCAGCTACTCAGTTACTCAGCTACTCAGTTACTCAGCTACTCAGTTACTCAGTTACTCAGCTACTCAGTTACTCAGCTACTCAGTTACTCAGCTACTCAGTTACTCAGCTACTCAGTTACTCAGTTACTCAGCTACTCAGTTACTCAGCTACAGAAACAGTCCTCCTCAGCCACACAACACCAAATCTACATCCCCCCCTCCCCTCCACACACACACAAACATAAACTATCTGAAAGCTCCGTATTACAAAAAATTGGATTTAATAAAACAAACATGACGAAAAAAAATGATTAAATATTCCTTCCCTTTCCCTTCGAGCAAATAGGATCGAAAAAAAAATGGCAGATGGGACGAATCAATGGGAGAGCCAGGGAGGTCCCAATGGTCAAGATGGGGGTCTAATGCCGTTAAGGGGAACAAGAGAATAAGGGCTCGGTTCAGGGGGGGGAGGGACCCCTGAGAATGGGGCGCCCCATAGGTGATGATCCAGCTCCAGAGAGGATCAACACAGAGGTGGACAGAGTATGTAATGGGATCGAATATACAAAAGATGAATTAGATGAGCAAAATACGCAAGTGAACCCTTGTTAAGGGGCCAGTGATTCCTCTCTTAACGCCCGAATTGGTAATTATAGCAGAACGATGTGGGCTGAGCTCGGTCTGTCGACGATGTCTTGGGTGTGTATATACTGTCTTGGGTGTATGTATACTGTCTTGGGTGTATGTATGCTGTCTTGGGTGTATGTATACTGTCTTGGGTGTATGTATACTGTCTTGGGTGTATGTATGCTGTCTTGGGTGTATGTATACTGTCTTGGGTGTATGTATACTGTCTTGGGTGTGTATACTGTCTTGGGTGTATGTATACTCTCTTGGGTGTATGTATACTGTATTGGGTGTATGTATACTGTCTTGGGTGTATGTATACTGTCTTGGGTGTATGTATACTGTCTTGGGTGTATGTATACTGTCTTGGGTGTATGTATACTGTCTTGGGTGTGTATACTGTCTTGGGTGTATGTATACTGTCTTGGGTGTATGTATACTGTCTTGGGTGTATGTATACTGTCTTGGGTGTATGTATACTGTCTTGGGTGTGTATACTGTCTTGGGTGTATGTATACTGTCTTGGGTGTATGTATACTGTCTTGGGTGTATGTAGACTGTCTTGGGTGTATGTATACTGTCTTGGGTGTATGTATACTGTCTTGGGTGTATGTATACTGTCTTGGGTGTATGTATACTGTCTTGGGTGTATGTAGACTGTCTTGGGTGTATGTATACTGTCTTGGGTGTATGTATACTGTCTTGGGTGTGTATATACTGCCTTGGGTGTATGTATACTGTCTTGGGTGTATGTATACTGTTTTGGGTGTATGTATACTGTCTTGGGTGTATGTATAATGTCTTGGGTGTATGTATACTGTCTTGGTGTATGTATACTGTCTTGGGTGTGTATATACTGCCTTGGGTGTATGTATACTGTCTTGGGTGTATGCATACTGTTTTGGGTGTATGTATACTGTCTTGGGTGTATGTATAATGTCTTGGGTGTATGTATACTGTCTTGGGTGTATGTATACTGTCTTGGGTGTATGTATACTGTCTTGGGTGTATGTATACTGTCTTGGGTGTATGTATAATGTCTTGGGTGTATGTATACTGTCTTGGGTGTATGTATACTGTCTTGGGTGTATGTATACTGTCTTGGGTGTATGTATACTGTCTTGGGTGTATGTATACTGTCTTGGGTGTATGTATACTGTCTTGGGTGTATGTATACTGTCTTGGGTGTATGTATACTGTCTTGGGTGTATGTATACTGTCTTGGGTGTAAGTATACTGTCTTTGGTGTATGTATACTGTCTTCGGTGTGTATATACTGTCTTGGGTGTATGTATACTGTCTTGGGTGTATGTATACTGTCTTGGGTGTAAGTATACTGTCTTTGGTGTATGTATACTGTCTTCGGTGTGTATATACTGTCTTGGGTGTATGTATACTGTCTTTGGTGTATATATACTGTCTTGGGTGTGTATATACTGTCTTGGGTGTATGTATACTGTCTTGGGTGTATGTATACTGTCTTGGGTGTATGTATACTGTCTTTGGTGTATATATACTGTCTTGGGTGTGTATATACTGTCTTGGGTGTATGTATACTGTCTTGGGTGTATGTATACTGTCTTGGGTGTATGTATACTGTCTTGGGTGTATGTGTACTGTCTTGGGTGTATGTATACTGTCTTGGGTGTATGTGTACTGTCTTGGGTGTATGTATACTGTCTTGGGTGTGTATATACTGTCTTGGGTGTATGTGTACTGTCTTGGGTGTATGTATACTGTCTTGGGTGTATGTGTACTGTCTTGGGTGTATGTATACTGTCTTGGGTGTGTATATACTGTCTTGGGTGTATGTGTACTGTCTTGGGTGTATGTATACTGTCTTGGGTGTATGTATACTGTCTTGAGTGTATGTATTCTGTCTTGGGTGTGTATATACTGTCTTGGGTGTATGTATACTGTCTTGGGTGTATGTATATTGTCTTGGGTGTGTATATACTGTCTTGGGTGTGTATATACTGTCTTGGGTGTATGTATACTGTCTTGGGTGTATGTATACTGTCTTGGGTGTGTATATACTGTCTTGGGTGTATGTATACTGTCTTGGGTGTATGTATACTGTCTTGGGTGTGTATATACTGTCTTGGGTGTTTGTATACTGTCTTGGGTGTATGTATACTGTCTTGGGTGTATGTATAATGTCTTGGGTGTATGTATAATGTCTTGGGTGTATGTATAATGTCTTGGGTGTATGTATACTGTCTTGGGTGTATGTATACTGTCTTGGGTGTATGTATACTGCCTTGGGTGTATGTATACTGTCTTGGGTGTACGTATAATGTCTTGGGTGTATGTATACTGTCTTGGGTGTATGTATACTGTCTTGGGTGTATGTATACTGTCTTGGGTGTATGTATAATGTCTTGGGTGTATGTATACTGTCTTGGGTGTATGTATACTGTCTTGGGTGTATGTATACTGTCTTGGGTGTATGTATAATGTCTTGGGTGTATGTATACTGTCTTGGGTGTATGTATACTGTTTTGGGTGTATGTATACTGTCTTGGGTGTATGTATAATGTCTTGGGTGTATGTATACTGTCTTGGGGGTATGTATGCTGTCTTGGGTGTATGTATAATGTCTTGGGTGTATGTATACTGTCTTGGGTGTATGTATACTGTCTTGGGTGTGTGTATACTGTCTTGGGTATATGTATAATGTCTTGGGTGTGTGTATACTGTCTTGGGAGTATGTATACTCTCTTGGGTGTATGTATACTGTCTTGGGTGTCTGTATAATGTCTTGGGTGTATGTATACTGTCTTGGGTGTATGTATACTGTCTTGGGTGTGTGTATACTGTCTTGGGTGTATGTATAATGTCTTGGGTGTGTGTATAATGTCTTGGGTGTGTGTATACTGTCTTGGGAGTATGTATAATGTCTTGGGTGTATGTATACTGTCTTGGGAGTATGTATACTGTCTTGGGTGTATGTATACTGTCTTGGGTGTATGTATACTCTCTTGGGTGTATGTATAATGTCTTGGGTGTATGTATACTGTTTTGGGAGTATGTATACTGTCTTGGGAGTATGTATACTGTCTTGGGTGTATGTATACTGTCTTGGGTGTATGTATACTCTCTTGGGTGTATGTATAATGTCTTGGGTGTATGTATACTGTTTTGGGTGTATGTATACTGTCTTGGGAGTATGTATACTGTCTTGGGTGTATGTATACTGTCTTGGGTGTATGTATACTGTCTTGAGTGCATAACGAGAAGGGTTATCATAACAAAGGTTATCATAACAAAAGGTTATCATAACAAAAGGTTATCATAACAAAAGGTTATCATAACAAAAGGTTATCATAACAAAAGGTTATCATAACAAAAGGTTATCATAACAAAATGTTATCATAATAAGAACAAGCCACAGTATTAGGCAGATAACAGTCCTCAGTGCTACTTAACATAATTTATTTGATTTGTGGAACTAATTACCACATAACATAACAGAAGAAGGCCCCCCTTGATTGTTTCAAGCGTAGGCTAGACATATATATGAATGAGATTGGGTGGTTAAAATGAGGAGCTGCCTCGGACGGGCCAATAGGCCTTCTGCACTTACCTTCATTCACTGCAGGGTGAACAGACGCTACAGTTTAGGGCTGGTGCCTAGTCAATCCTCCCTGGGCATGGATACGAACCCAGGGCAAAATGTGTCATAAGGCTCGTCAGTGTTAGATCGTCCAGTCCAGCAGACCTACAGCAGCAGCCTGGTACAAGCAGAGCCCGGCCAGCAGACCTACAGCAGCAGCCTGGTACAAGCAGAGCCCGGCCAGCAGACCTACAGCAGCAGCCTGGTACAAGCAGAGCCCGGCCAGCAGACCTACAGCAGCAGCCTGGTACAAGCAGAGCCCGGCCAGCAGACCTCCACCAGCAGCCTGGTACAAGCAGAGCCCGGCCAGCAGACCTCCACCAACAGCCTGGTACAAGCAGAGCCCGGCCAGCAGACCTTCACCAGCAGCCTGGTACAAGCAGAGCCCGGCCAGCAGACCTACAGCAGCAGCCTGGTACTAGCAGAGCCCGGCCAGCAGACCTCCACCAGCAGCCTGGTACAAGCAGAGCCCGGCCAGCAGACCTCCACCAGCAGCCTGGTACAAGCAGAGCCCGGCCAGCAGCCTGGTACAAGCAGAGCCCGGCCAGCAGACCTACAGCAGCAGCCTGGTACAAGCAGAGCCCGGCCAGCAGACCTCCACCAGCAGCCTGGTACAAGCAGAGCCCGGCCAGCAGACCTCCACCAACAGCCTGGTACAAGCAGAGCCCGGCCAGCAGACCTTCACCAGCAGCCTGGTACAAGCAGAGCCCGGCCAGCAGACCTACAGCAACAGCCTGGTACAAGCAGAGCCCGGCCAGCAGACCTCCACCAACAGCCTGGTACAAGCAGAGCCCGGCCAGCAGACCTCCACCAACAGCCTGGTACAAGCAGAGCCCGGCCAGCAGACCTCCACCAGCAGCCTGGTACAAGCAGAGCCCGGCCAGGAGACCTCCACCAGCAGCCTGGTACAAGCAGAGCCCGGCCAGCAGACCTCCACCAGCAGCCTGGTACAAGCAGAGCCCGGCCAGGAGACCTCCACCAGCAGCCTGGTACAAGCAGAGCCCGGCCAGGAGACCTCCACCAGCAGCCTGGTACAAGCAGAGCCCGGCCAGCAGACCTCCACCAGCAGCCTGGTACAAGCAGAGCCCGGCCAGCAGACCTACAGCAGCAGCCTGGTACAAGCAGAGCCCGGCCAGCAGACCTCCACCAGCAGCCTGGCACAAGCAGAGCCCGGCCAGCAGACCTCCACCAGCAGCCTGGTACAAGCAGAGCCTGGCCAGTAGACCTCCAGCAGCAGCAGACAGCTCCACCAACCACCACTACAAAAGCCTGACCAATTCGGTCTACCACAAACTTGAGCTCGTCACTGAACCACTCAGTACAAGACCCCGTCTCACAGTACACAACAAGAGCCCAGACCAGCCTCACAGTACACAACAAGAGCCCAGACCAGCCTCACAGTACACAACAAGAGCCCAGACCAGCCTCACAGTACACAACAAGAGCCCAGACCAGCCTCACAGTACACAACAAGAGCCCAGACCAGCCTCACAGTACACAACAAGAGCCCAGACCAGCCTCACAGTACACAACAAGAGCCCAGACCAGCCTCACAGTACACAACAAGAGCCCAGACCAGCCTCACAGTACACAACAAGAGCCCAGACCAGCCTCGCACTGCTCACATCATCACTAACAAGAGAACAGCCCCGACTTACGGCTAACAATGAAACAAAACAGGAATTCTATGTTGACCAGACCACACACTAGAAGGTGAAGGGGCGACGACGTTTCGGTCCGTCCTGGACCATTCTCAAGTCGATTGTCAACTTGAGAATGACTTGAGAATGGTCCAGGACGGACCGCAACATCGTCGTCCCTTCATTTTCTAGTGTGTGGTCTGGTCAACATACTTCAGCCTCGTTATTGTGACTCATCGCCTGGATAGGAATTCTATCTGGCTGGGTCACGCTCACCACTCTACATCCGGTTATTGGACGCCCAAGAGGCCGGCTTAAGTAACACAAGGAAGCACTTAACGATCTCCTGCTCAAAGGCACTACGGGCTCACCATAGCCCGTGCTACTTGGAACTTTTTGTTCCAGATAGCGAATCTTTAACAACAACAACAACGATCTTCTGCTCACTGGAGGGTGACAATTGTTAATTGCAAGTGTATTGAGGTTGAGCTTCGGCTCCTTGGCCCCGCCTCTCAGCAGTCAAATCAACTGGTGTACAGATTCCTGATCTTATTGAGCTCTATCATATCTGCACTTGAAACTGTGTATGGAGTCAGCCTCCACCACATTACTGTCTAATGCATTTAATTTCTTAATTACTCCGACACCAAAAAAAGTTCTTTCTAATATCTTTAAAGCTCATTTGGGCACTCAATTTCAACCTGTGTGCCCTAGTGCGTGTGCCCCTTGTGTTAAATAAACTGCCTTTATCTACCCTATCAATTCCTATGAGAATTTTGTATGTGGTAATCATTTCTCCTCTAACTCTGCTCTCTTCCAGCGACGTGAGGTTTAGTTCCAGTAGTCTCTCCTCGTAGCTCATATCCCTCAGCTCGGGAACTACTCTCGTGGCATACCTCTGAACCGTCTCCAAATTAGTCTTATGCTTGACTAGATACGGATTCCATGCTGGAGCTGCATACTCCAGTATTGGTCTGACATATGTGGCTCTCAATAATTCCTAACCAAATTTTGTGAGGTTTGAAGTTCCTCTGAAGCCCACATCAAGAGGATATCATCAACGGCATATGTCAGTTGGCATATGCCGCTGATATAAAAAAAACTCCTCCACCACCACAGTAGCATGGTGGTAGACGCCGGCGGCACAGTAGCATGGTGGTAGACGCCGGCGTCACAATAGCATGGTGGTAGACGCCGGCGCCACAGTAGCATGGTGGTAGACGCCGGCGTCACAATAGCATGGTGGTAGACGCCGGCGCCACAGTAGCATGGTGGTGGTGGCGGCGTCACAGTAGCATGGTGGTGGTGGCGGCGTCACAGTAGCATGGTGGTAGACGCCGGCGTCACAGTAGCATGGTGGTAGACGCCGGCGTCACAGTAGCATGGTGGTAGACGCCGGCGTCACAATAGCATGGTGGTAGACGCCGGCGCCACAGTAGCATGGTGGTAGACGCCGGCGTCACAGTAGCATGGTGGTAGACGCCGGCGCCACAGTAGCATGGTGGTGGCGGCGTCACAGTAGCATGGTGGTAGACGCCGGCGTCACAGTAGCATGGTGGTAGACGCCGGCGTCACAGTAGCATGGTGGAGGAGGTGGCGTCACAGTAGCATGGTGGTGGTGGCGGCGTCACAGTAGCATGGTGGTGGCGGCGCCACAGTCTGCCCCGAGGGGCGGGCACGTGGGGCCGCTCAGCTCTGCCATTGGTCCCTTGGCCAACAGCTGCCGGCGCCATTTTGTCCACATTATGACATTCATCAGTCGCGGACCAACACTGCTCCTGAAGGGCATGAAAATTAATTCACTAGCGGGGCTGGGGAGGTATGGGAAATGCATTAGCTCCTCTCTTCCACAGTCTCTAAAAGTAGGCGATGCCCATATCGTAACGGCGACCAGTCTTTGTATCAGCTTAAACCAGCTTGGGAAATGGGGTGAGGCCGGGGAAAATGGGCCTTGGGGAAGGGCCGGCTTGGGGCGCGCTTCCCCTGCACGCTAAGGGGAGCGTAGCGAAATATGTAATCCGTTTATGTCAATAATTCACATGAAAATGACCCTTGGGCCGGGTGGGTAGAGCGTCGCACATAAGAGCGTCGAGGGAAGGGAGTCGTGACCCCTCAATGAGGCGAATCAACAAATGAGCATCAGGAGTTGGACAATACCCCGAGGCTCGGGGCGTCCAGGACGGGCCGCGCCGCCACGCTAGCGCGGCAAATTCTGTTCGCCGCGCCTCGGAAAAGGAATCCAAATACATCGCTAACTAAACTAGACGCGGAGGATGAGCATTTTACGCTGATACCTACGCCTGTTATCTGGCAAAATCATTCACTCCATGTAACAAGGTGGCGGTCAATGGACGATATGCCCCGCTCCTTTGCGACGCATTGCACTAAACACCGCATCAATATCAATTTTGGCTGCCTCTTTACCTTTGGCGCCAAGTGTGGCTAATTGCAAACTTTTCATCGAGCTCAAACATCGTGATACGCTCAAAGATCACTTACACAAGCTGATTTAATGCATAAGCACTGCCTACATGTTGACTCTAAGACAGGTTAATTGTACCCACTAGTGATGGGTACTCTATAATCCTTAGTTGGTGCTTCACTAGTGGCCACCACTGACACATTATATGCATGCATAAAATTCTTCTCTTATTAGGCATTAGATATACGACAGGATATGGATATTCAGATGTTAAAATGTTGTTTCATTGTTAATGGTAATAGTCTATCGCGGCTCTTTTGTTTTGTTTAACATTCTCTACAACAATGGTTCGTGCTTCTACAATGGTAGTTTCTCCCCCAGAATGGTTCTGTCTCCCCCAGAATGGTTCTGTCTCCACCAGAATGGTTCTGTCACCACCAGAATGGTTCTGTCTCCACCAGAATGGTTCTGTCTCCCCCAGAATGGTTCTGTCACCACCAGAATGGTTCTGTCTCCACCAGAATGGTTCTGTCTCCCCCAGAATGGTTCTGTCACCACCAGAATGGTTCTGTCTCCACCAGAATGGTTCTGTCTCCCCCAGAATGGTTCTGTCTCCATCAGAATGGTTCTGTCTCCACCAGAATGGTTCTGTCTCCCCCAGAATGGTTCTGTCTCCATCAGAATGGTTCTGTCTCCACCAGAATGGTTCTGTCTCCACCAGAATGGTTCTGTCTCCCCCAGAATGGTTCTGTCTCCATCAGAATGGTTCTGTCTCCATCAGAATGGTTCTGTCTCCATCAGAATGGTTCTGTCTCCATCAGAATGGTTCTGTCTCCCCCAGAATGGTTCTGTCTCCCCCAGAATGGTTCTGTCTCCATCAGAATGGTTCTGTCTCCACCAGAATGGTTCTGTCTCCACCAGAATGGTTCTGTCTCCCCCAGAATGGTTCTGTCTCCATCAGAATGGTTCTGTCTCCATCAGAATGGTTCTGTCTCCATCAGAATGGTTCTGTCTCCATCAGAATGGTTCTGTCTCCACCAGAATGGTTCTGTCTCCACCAGAATGGTTCTGTCTACACAGAATGGTTCTGTCTCCATCAGAATGGTTCTGTCACCACCAGAATGGTTCTGTCTCCATCAGAATGGTTCTGTCTCCATCAGAATGGTTCTGTCTCCACCAGAATGGTTCTGACTCCATCAGAATGGTTCTGTCTCCGCCAGAATGGTTCTGTCTCCACCAGAATGGTTCTGTCTCTGCCAGAATGGTTCTGTCTCCGCCAGAATGGTTCTGTCACCACCAGAATGGTTCTGTCTCCATCAGAATGGTTCTGTCTCTGCCAGAATGGTTCTGTCTCCGCCAGAATGGTTCTGTCACCACCAGAATGGTTCTGTCTCCCCCAGAATGATTCTGTCTCCATCAGAATGGTTCTGTCTCCATCAGAATGGTTCTGTCTCCGCCAGAATGGTTCTGTCTCCATCAGAATGGTACATTCTACAACACCCACACACTCTAGTTCTGCTGTTGCTGAATCATATCTCTTCTGATGTTGATCCGAAGAGATATGACAACATCAGAGGCCCGAGACTGTTCAACACGCTTCCACTACACATAATGGACATAACTGGCCGACCTCTCACAGTGTTCAAGAGAGAACTATCAACATCAGAGGCCCGAGACTGTTCAACACGCTTCCACTACACATAAGGGGCATAACTGGCCGACCCCTCACAGTGTTCAAGAGAGAACTATCAACATCAGAGGCCCGAGACTGTTCAACACGCTTCCACTACACATAAGGGACATAACTGGCCGACCCCTCACAGTGTTCAAGAGAGAACTATCAACATCAGAGGCCCGAGACTGTTCAACACGCTTCCACTACACATAAGGGACATAACTGGCCGACCCCTCACAGTGTTCAAGAGAGAACTATCAACATCAGAGGCCCGAGACTGTTCAACACGCTTCCACTACACATAAGGGACATAACTGGCCGACCCCTCACAGTGTTCATGAAAGAACTATCAACATCAGAGCCCCGAGACTGTTCAACACGCTTTCACTACATATAAGGGACATAACTGGCCCACCCCTCACAGTGTTCAAGAGAGAACTATCAACATCAGAGGCCCGAGACTGTTCAACACGCATCCACTACACA